TCATGTATGCTTACTTTTCATTTTTACTAATGAGAAGAGTCTCCTTGAGCCTGTTTGCTGGTCTGTACAATAGGTGTTTTGGATTTTTCCCTTCTGCAACATTACCTTCTTAGAATTATTGAGATCCGCTGTTCTTAACATCTCACTGAAAAAAATAAATTTCAGGTTTTTTTGTGCTACTGAAAGGAGATGAAAATTGAGATGGGGATGAATGGATGAATTTTGTTAACATAAATTTCACGTATCTTGTTTGTTTTGAAGGGTAACAGAATTAGGAAAGTTCCAGTTCTGTAACCACTGTTATGATAGCATACATAGCTGTTGCATTAGTAAATGTTTTTGTGGAAGCTGAATGAAGTTTATGAACTTTGTTGTGTCATTCTTGGCAGTTCCAGTACTGAATAACAGAGAATTCACCCGTATGTTGTAAAGGAGGTGTATTATTTAAGAATAAGTTAGAAAAGAGTTGTTTGTCTTTCCCCTCTGAGTGCTTAAAGCATTCTAGTCTCAGAAACAGTCAAGAATTATTCTTCTCAAGACACTTTTAAAGTCTGAAAACTATCTGGAAAGTTAAATTTTATGCAGAATTCTGATTTCTCTCAGTTTAAAATCATACCAACCCAGGTGTGTGCAGTTATGCCATACAAGACATCCTGTTTAAAAGGGCCCTTCTGGTCCGCAATCCTGTGGATCCACCTTTCTGTAAAGTGACCTCTAATTTAAGCTCAGAGAGAGGGGTCAAGACAGGCACTTTTTTGTTTGTTTGTTTCTTTCTGATGAATTGTTTCAGGTGGTTTTGTTTGTTGTTTTCTTTTGAGAAGAACTTTGTCTGTCTGTCTGAGAAGAACTTTGTCTGCTTTCTTTACACCAGTTTGTCTTTCATTGGCAAGACTGTATTACGACATCAGTTTTGCTCATTGCAAAAAAAAAAAAAAAAAAAGACTAATTCTTTTAGTTCAGATTTTTTTTCTGTCCTGTGGATATCTCTGCATTTGTTTCGTTGTTCACTGAAAGTTTAGGTGTACTGCACGTTAACATTCATATAGTCTTTGTAATGTAAAAACTCAATTCAGATATGGCAAAATCTGAGAAACGCCACTTGCTGCAAGTCTCCACTTGGTTGTCGAGCTATTGACTGCAACTTTCTGAGTGTGACCATCCTGCCAATTCCTTATCCAGTGAGGGATCCATCCATCAGATCCATTTTTCTCCAGTTTGGCAATCAGGATGTCATGTGGGACAGTGTCAAGTGCTTTGCACAAGTCCTGGTCGATGAATCACAGAATCACGGAATTGTAGGGGCTGGAAGGGACTTCCAGAGATCATCAAGTCCAGCCCCCTCTACAAAGCAGCCTCCCTACAGCAGGCTGCACAGGTAGGTGTCCAGATTGGTCTTGAATATCTCCAGAGAAGGAGAATCCACAACCCCCCTGTGCAGCCTGTTCCAGTGCTCCGTCACTTTTCACAGTTTTTGTTATACATCATATCTCTACACTGTTAGTTTTATATTGAAGTGGAACTGAAGTGGTGTATTAATTAGACTTGGGGTGTACAGCTGTTCAGACGTAAATATTTTTTTTATAGTCCAGCCCCACAGGCACGAGGCAGATGAAAGTCCCTCAGTATCTTGAATGAAACGGAGGCGAATTGGGAAAGCAGTAGAAACAGAGGATGACTTTTATTGCTGTGATTTCTTGATTACTTCTCAGAATGAGGAGATTTTGCTTCTGAAAGGATAGCTGACTGCAGTGATCCAGCACATATGTGGAATACACTGAGCACTTAGATTGCCAGCAAGGCCACAGTGGTTTTCATAGTTGGCAGCTGTTGTGTTGTCAGCAGGATTTTAGCCAGTTAAAGCTTTATCTGGTCAGCTAAATGTTGTGCCAAAATGATGAAGATATGGGAAAGACATTGTACCACGTCCAGTGGGGTAGAAGGGAGCCATTGGCACTGAATTTTTCTTTTACAAATTGGTGAGTTCTATGAAACTGGTAAGGTCTGTTATCTGCTAATTGCTATTCATAAGTTGTGTACAGGTGTTGGAATGTGGCTCAGTATCATGAAGATAGATAAAAGAGATAAATGTAATGCGTAAAAGCTTAATTTTCCTCTAATATATGTGAAGATGTCAGATAAAGCATGTTCATTACTGATCCAAGCTCTTTAGTTATATAACAGAAGGAATCCTTTTCTTCCTGCTGAAGCAAAGCCAAAGGGCAGGTTTAAAGTTGGCAGATACCTTTTTCCTGGAGTTTCACACATTACTGACGTCTTGAGTGCTTGTTATACTATTTTTTTCATATATATATGAACACACATTGTCATTTTCATACTTACAAAACAGTCACTTGAGTAAGTAAACTTTGCTCTTCCTAAATAATCATCTTATTCAGTAGTATATCTATGTCTATTTGACTTGATTGTATTCGTAGACCATCACAGGAATGGAAATATATTCTTTTTAATGGAAAACGTATGAGGCAAAGTTGGGACCAAGTTATAGTATAGAACAAATTGTGTATTACATTTCATGATGCTCAGATGGAGCCATTCATGACAGGGAGGCCTTAAACAATCCCCGTTGTAATCTTGAAACTAGCATTGAAAATATGTATTAGAAATTAAGGCAATGCTGTATGTCACCTTCAGAGGCAGAAAGGGATGCTAGTGGTAAGATGTAGATTAGTGGTAGATTGTTTCAGCAATTGGAGTATGAACTTTAATGAGCATTGGAGATTTGTATTTAAAGCCAGTGCTGTTGGTACAGTTGCTGGGCACAAATCATTCCAACTTTTCTTGTGTTTTTTTCTGAAAGCATCTGGATGCTCCACTGTTGTTGTTCAAGGACACAAACCATCAGCTTCCTTCCTGCCATCTTCTATTGTTCCATGGTGGCCAAACTGGTTTTCCCCTCCCTGTTGTAGCTTCCATTGTTTCCACTGTGCCTGCTCCCATGCACAGATACCAGTCGACCCATACACACCTGTACTCAGTGAAGGGCAAATAGGGTTGTAAACTGAGTGTAGAACTGCTGTACAGCTTAGCGAGGGTACAGTGAGCACCAGCAGGGCACGAGGTGTGAAACTGCTGCTGTTTGAAGAGGCCAATGTGGTGCTGTAACCACTGGCTATTAGATCAGATTGTGCCACCGTGGACCAGCAGTGGCAGGCTGTGTGCTTATGATCTCCGCTACAAAAACAGGCTGAGGGAGCTGGGCTTGTTCAGCATGGAGAAAAGAAGGCTGCAGGGTGACCTCATTGCAGCCTTTCAGTGCCTAAGGGGAGCCTACAAACAGGAGGGGAATCAACTCTTTGAAAGGATAGATAACAGTAGGACACGGGGAAATGGTTTTAAGTTGAGGGAGGGAAGATTTAGGTTGGATGTCAGGAAGAAGTTCTATACTGTGAGAGTGGTGAGGTGCTGGAAGAGGCTGCCCAGAGAGGCTGTGGATGCCCCGTCCCTGGAGGTGTTCGAGGCCAGGTTGGATGGGGCCCTGGGCAGCCTGGTCTGGCGTTAAATGGGGAGGTTGGTGGCCCTGCCTGTGGCAGAGGGCTTGGAGATTCATGATCCTGAGGTCCCTTCCAATCCTGGCCTTTCTGTGATTCTGTGATCTGATGATGGAAGAGAAAAAAAATGTGACAGTTGTGATAATTTAGTATCTGTATTGCTAGTGTGAGTCTAGACCTTTTTACTTCTTTGTTGAAGTATAGAAGACTTCTGAAACTCTGTTCGGGCCAGTCTGGATGAGGCATTTGAATACCTTTAAAGTGATTTGTAGCTTTTTTTGACCTTGCCTAGGCTATTGTGATCCACTTTTGTGTGACCATCTGTGTGTTCCTTTCTGTTTCCTTTGTCAGCTGTGTTTTGCTGTGTAGCACTCAGAGCATTGAAGCTCAACAGTGTTTATTTTTACAAGCATGTTGGTGCAGATTGCTGAGTAAATGATATGTGTTGGAAAGCTGTCAAGCTGTGTGTGCCAGACAAAAGACAACACACAACATGAACTGTCATTGTTATTCAGTGTGGGCAGCAGATCCTGGAGGGCTTCTGCTGTATGTATCCTTGAATACAGAGCACTGATGGAGTCCTCTTCTAAATTGCTTTTCACCATGGCTAGCCTGCCTTTATCAGCTGCTTTTGCTTGGAGACTATTTAAGCAAATTGTGCCTGTCCCTGGAGACTTGCTCACATCATTTCCCTGGCACCAATAAGCAGAAGGTCTGCAGTCTAAGACAGTTGGTGGTATTTTCTCCTTCTTCTGAAGTAGTCAGTTTCATTAGTATGCAGAGGCTGAGGGAGAAAATTGCTTACCTGCTTTGAGAATGTAGTGATTTAAGGTAATTTGTTTTAAATTATTACTGTATTTTGGACGGCAAATATAGAATCACTGAATGGCCTGGATAGAAAAGGACCACAACGATCATGTAGTTTCAACCCCCCTGCTATATGCTGGGTCGCCAACCAGCAGCCCAGGCTGCCCAGAGCCACATCCAGCCTG